GGTCAGGAACACAAAGTACCACCATGTGGTAACACTTGATTTGGCTTCCACTGCATTTCTCTTTCTCAAGGAGTATATTTAGGTCAGTCATGAGATCAGTTTCTTATGTACTAATAAATTATCAAATAATATGTAAATAGCTTCTATTGGAATCATTTTTGCTGTTTTCAAAGATTATTATGCTTTATGTTCTGAGACCTATATTACGAGTTTAATCAAGCCACAAGCATTAGAGTAAAATCAGGCCCATGTAAACCATTACAGAGCTTCTCCTCCCTTCAGATCAGCTGCAACCGTGATGCAAGCTCACCTTTTTTAATCATTTCAAGTTTATGTGACRGTAAAATGGTGACTTTGTTTTCACCTTAAGACAAATGTCAAAGTGCACGTGAGAATAAGTCGTGACAGGACAGAGGTGTTATTGTAAGGCAGTAGGAACAAAAAACTGGATCAGAGAGGAGACCACAAAGACATCCTGTCAGTACAGAGGAGACGTGGGGCTGACAAAACCACAAGGGTTGAGGTGTATATGAACAAGCTTGACCAGAACAGGAACTCAGCAGTTGTTTTCTTATGAGTCAGCCAGCTGCAGCACATAAAACCACACTGATCTTTTTAYAAAGCAACAAAGGCCAAAGCTGAAAACCTTTGAGCTTTAGAGCTTGGAGTTTTATTGATTCCTGAGAATAAATTAGATCAATTTCATAGTCATTCRTGTGAACGCTCTTTTAGAAACTTTACACCACCATCAGCTTTTCCTTACACCACATCTGTCAAACTAAAGGCCCATGGGCATAATGTGACCCACCACAGCATCTGATGTGGCCCACGAGAGCTTCAAACATGTATTAATATCTTAAAATAACACTATGCTGCTTTGACTATTACAGTAACTGCATCTCTCATATGTGTTGTTTTACCTTCAAAAGCACTGTACAGAGCAGTTGTATTGGGAAATGGGAATTTCCCACGTACGGGTTGTAAATTTAAACTGTAACACCCCTCAAGTGGGAATTCCCTGTTGGAAAGTGGGAGAGTTCAGAATTTAAGGTGGTAGCTACTCGTCACAACTCAACAGTGAGTAAACCTTTCTTACTTTTATTTTAATCGTGTTTCTGTAGTATTTATTTCACTTTTAGTCAGTTTTACACGAAGTACTTAAGAGGACATCTTAAAACAATGTTTCCATGTAGGAAATACCAGGTAGAGCTCAGTTATTGTTTAACGATGCTCGGTGGTAGCAACGAGGCGAGGACCGTGAGGTTTCCTGTTTAGYTGAAGTTAAACACATCGAAGTTAATTACAACTGGCCCTTTGAGGGCCACCATAATGCTCATGTGGCCCACTGTAAAAACGAGTTTGACTCTGCTGCTTTACACAGATGCTTACATGCAGTTCTTTGGTTATTGCACAAATAGCATCTGTTAGCTGTAGCACTTCAAGGGATATCCAAGAGACCACATTAAGCAGGATTTATCATTTCTACTTAATGTAATAAAGATCATTATTTCGACCGTTAAGTCTCCGTCAATTTCCTATCACACAGCTCTTTTAACAGAAATATGAAATTCTTGTCAGAAATGAGCACTGGAGGCCCCGAAGAGGCCACAGCTAACTAACGCTAGTGTTATTTTTGTTTGTAAATAAWCAGAATTTGATGTAAAAAAAATTAAACTGCAACATTCATGAAAGTGTGAGTTTACAAAATGAATTCCTGAAAAGTGTTGAAGGCTGGAGTTGGCAGCAGCCCACTTTCTGAGTGTTCAGCTGTTAGCTCATTCAAACATAAACTCTATTCCTCCAAACTGAGGCTGTTCAAAGAACCATCAATGAGTAAGATATGAGTTATTTCTAACTTTTATTCAAACCACATCAACTTGGCTGAACATTTCATTTCAGGCATCAATAAAAACAGCAGAGAGAAGTGTGCCTGTCGGCTAACCGCAACACATCTGTGTGTACAAAGATATTTGGTGCATAATCAGGACAAACGTTCTATTTTTAAACCATTTAACTCCACCTTGTATCTATGCTGACCTTCAGAAATAACACTCCTCTGCAATTTTTACTGTCTGCTGTCATGTGTTGTAGGAAATGTTGAGTAAACCTGTTGATCACTGTAAAGTTCAGCAAAGTGTTTAATGGGCTATATGGGTAGACTGGTGCTCTCTGCTGGACGATATGGTAACTGCAGAGATGCTGAACGTTCAATAAAATCTAACATTATCACAAAATTTAAATAAAAAAAGCTATTTTTTCACCATCTGTTGTCTGCTGATGTGTTTTAAACTCTTGCATCTTTCTGACAGCTATTGTAATTCTGTTAGGATAAAGGACTTATCCCAGCATTTTGGCTGTAGGTCCTGCATGTG